ATTCCGTATAACCTATACTAATGAGAAAATATCCCGTTGCTAGTCTGGGGGCCAAAGTAAAACAGCATTTCGATGGATTGGACATATTCGGAAACTCTTTTATAAATATTCCAATGCATTTATCTGTTTATACTGCCACATTGTTAAAATCTTTAAACTTTCCAGAGGAGCCAATTCATGTGTAACTTAATGACTAAGGCGGCGTTGTTTAAAATCTAGTTAAATTTGACTGTAGTCAATGTCACGTCAAATACATAGCAGATGTGTCGAATTGACAATAAATGTGAGAAATGGTAATTTTTTCTATCTCTATGTATCAAACAAAGCGGTATTAAACTCTTCACGGACGAACAACAGGCTTCGCATTATTGTTAGGGGTAATGTAGGCCAAAAAGTTTTTTACTGAGCACGATTCGAAATCTGATTGACAGTCTGAGTGTGTGGTAAAACAATTTTTTTTCTCTCTCACAATCTTAACAGGAACACTCGAATTCATGTATAAAAGAAATATGAGAGCCACTAAAGCGAATGAAATATGTACGTGTCGTAGTCAATGGAAGGAAGTGACATTTGCCCATTTAGTAAAGCGAGACTGTAGGATGTATCTATCCAAAAATATCATAGTTCGACTTGTTCTTACCTAACGGAACTGATTTATGCGACTCTCTGGGTACTATCAGCTCAAAGCAATTTGAATCCTAAAAACAGCTAGCATTGGTGTTTAATGCGCTGTCGCTGTACAGTATCCTAACTGTTGTCGAGTTGTTTTTTTGCGTTTTGCATTGGATTTCATTCGTTACGTTAACAAGGGCACAACATAAGTATCTACTTTAATAAATTGTCCCTTTTTTGTTTCAACCAAATGCGGTGCCTCCCAGTTATAAAGGTTTCTGTCGTTATACACTGTACGGCCGCATTCCTAAGTAGGGAATGGAAAGACACACAAAATATTTGATTTTGCTCTGAAAACAAAATTGAAATAAAAAAAGGTAATGTTAAGTAGGTGTTTCTCTTAGGAGTTTAGAATTACGCTATCTATTAAAGTTTATAAAATTTATGTTAAACTATAGCGTCTAGTTCAACGGTTTTCGAGTAATTTTTATTTCGAAAGTAAATCATATGTACTTAAAAAGTTATTGCAATTTTAAAACTGTGATAATTAGTTTTGCAGACTAGTGTAGTTATCATTGCCTTGCCGGCTTCAACTCAATGCCCTTTAAAATCAAATTCAAAATGTGTTGGTTGGGTAAGTTAAGTATAGCTCCTTTGTAGCTTTACTTACTACAAAATCCCAGCACTGTAGAGCTGTACTTTGCTGTTTATTGTGCTGTATGAGCTCATAAAGCAACAATGACGTTTTTTGGACTGCGTCCGTATTGCTCAAAAAATATAACCATAAAGAAAATATTACTAGAAAAAATCCACTCGACCTAAGTTTCAGACGAGATCCAGCAGTTAAGTGCTTTAAAATAAAAATATAATAATATTACTATTATCAAACGATTAAGGTCCACTCAAGTAACTTATAGCATACTGATAGAGATGCCTATGCCATAATCATAATGACTTGCTTACGCGAAAATTTATCGGATTGAAAATCGTACCATACTGCGTATAATATACATATCTCTTATTGTACACTTGCGTTTTTATTACGGAAAATGAGTATTAGAACCACACAATATTACCACGAAAAGACAATTTTTTCAATAGATTATGAATTTTATGCCAAGCGAGATAAAGTGCAAAGTTTGATGGGAAGAAAATTTTGGATAACCTGACCGGTGGCTGTACAATACAACCACATAAGCAAGAACTAAAAGTCAAGACAATAAGAAAGTTTATTTCCTAAGTTAATCTAAATGGGATCTTCGAGAAAGCCGACGTACAAGTTCAGTTACACAAAAGTTAGTTAAACAAAGTTGTATTTATAGAGTTCTATAGTAAACCGCATTGACTTCAGTTTGCTTGTTAATTTACAGTCTTTGTGTACAAAGCACGCCAATGTGGCGGTGCAAAATAATACGGTTTGTTATAATATTTTCAGCGATAATTGCAAGAACTGGATATCTGGTTATTATTAACCAGAGGTACCCTGCTGTTTCACCCGCATTAATTTGAGAAAAAATGTTATAGTAGGTCACCCTTAAAAGATGGACATAATATGCTGACCCGGACTTTTACTAGAAATATTTTTTACTAGTAAAGTTTTCTTCATTTAAGTCCTTATTAGTTTTTTTTATTTTTCATATGCACTGAACAGTAAACCATTTTAACCTTGATTTTTTTAAAACTATGTTTATTATTTCAAAATATGAAACGAAAACAAATATGACGCGAGTGTTCCGCAAGCCCTGCACTTGAGCACTGGCACTGACGTATGACTGCGTATGTGCCAGACAGCTAGTGCTCACTCATGCATGCGCGTTTTGCTTGTTATAGTGAAACGATCGCAACGCGGTTGTATGAAACTTTGTTTCTGTACGTCTTTTGACTCATGAGTTTGTAGTAATGAAACGATCGCGGCGTGGTAGTATGAAGCTTTATCTCTGTAGGGACTGTACTTTTCTTTACTCGTGTGGTTAATATTTATAAGATCTGACATTGTTCGCAATTCATACAAAATATTTTAAAGGAAGTAAAGCAACACAAAACATTTTACTACCTAATTACTTATTTTGTAGTGTGATTCGTGAGATATTTTTACTACTCCTAAAAATAGTCAATAGTATTTTTTTTTTTGAAGTTATACTTCTTTAGCCGCGTTATGAAAAAATTATGAGAGTGAAATTTTAAGATGCGCGCGCATCACTGTAACACAAAAGTAACATAATGAAGTTAGCCGCGGGCGCGTTATGAAAAAATGATGAGAGTGAAATTTTAAGATGCGCGCGCAACACTGTAACAGAAAATTAACACCATGAAGTCGGCCGCTAAACCGCACATTACTCGTAAGTCTCGAAAAAAAGCTTCCAACAAAATAGTAATAGGATCTCTTAGTCGCACGTGTTGGGACGCTCGTCGCCTCTGATCACTGTTTTCATATTTATAATATTTATCCACATGTTTCTAGTTTCTATATTTTTAACACGTGTTATAATAAAACTAGTTTTTACGGGTTAATGCACGAAACTTTATTTATTTATTATAATAAATAAATAATTAATAAATAAATAAAGTTTCGTGCATTAACCCGTAAAAACTAGTTTTATTTAATAAGTGATGTGCGTAAAATCCTAAGAAACAAACGTGTTATAATGTTATACAAATGCTAAATTTATATGTGCTAATAAATTTTATTCAGTAGTGATTTAAATTGAATATTTTGATTATTTATTAAAATTTTCAAATTAAAACTGAACTTTATTGACTGCGTTGACTATCCTTTTCCAATCCTTTTATTATCTTATTGTAATTAATTATCTGCATGCAATTAAAAACTATTTTTAATAATTCCAAAAAGAAGTATAACTTCTCACGCGCATACTTAAGTACACGCACCCATATTTTTTTATGTTATAGAGCATACGAGCAGACGGCTCACCTGATGGTAAGTGATCACCATCGCCTATGGACACTTGCAACACCAGGAGTATCACAAATGCGATGCCGGCCTTTAAGGAAGGTTTTTTTTTAAAGGTTCTTGGGTCGTATTGTTTATTAGTATTACCATACGGGGTGTTTCATTTGTAAATGCAAACCGTCCAAACAAATACTTAAGGGAAAAGTTGAGGAAATGTAAACAGGTAAATTTCAAAGCCTCTATAACAATACCCGCATCACAGTCCCTTCAAGGGTCTTGTCGTCTCAAGCCGATTATGTTGAAGTTGATTATCCTGAAATTTTACCAACTGTACATGCAAATAAAGAGATAACAGCTTAAGGCATATACTCATTTTGCTTTTTGTATCTTTTACTGTACGTATACAATCAATGAAGATGCTACAATGTGATAAGCGGGTACAAAAAGGAAAGATCTATATACATCCCAATAGAGCTTCCAATCAATAATTCTAATTAAAATGAGCTGTTCAACGAAATCTACACATACTTATGTAAGTATTGATTTTACGTTGACGCATGTGATATTTAACGCATCGTAAGAAATAATGTACTTACAGTCAAACGAAATACCTAGCATGGCTGTTTGAGCAGGCATAATGCCTCCTCTACACGTCGACAGATGCATCTGCAGATGCCATCTTCGGACACGTCAGCCGACGTGTAGGCAGGGTAGTTTGCATTCGCCGAAATGGCTAATATCGTGAGCACTAACGAAACATTTAAATTCCTTGAGTAGTATTCAAGCAGAAAACAACATGTGGTAACCGAAAAATACCCAGCAGCCACCATCTTCATCTTTTCTATTTCATTTTAATAATTCTACGGCGATGCACTTCAAGTAGTAATTAAAAGTATTAAACAATTAAATAATTGAGGCAGCTACGATATCAACATTTATACTCAGGTGTACGGTCTCTTGATGTTGTGAAGAAATCAAACTTCTAAGATAACGGGAATAAAAGAAAAAAGAATAGAACTAGGTCTACTAATTTATACGGTACCCTCGGTGGGTAAGTCCGACTCGCACTTGACCGGCTTTTTTTTTGTAAGAACCTTCTACAAAGTATTAGGAAAAAATGCTTGAAATTAGTATAGTCATTCTCAAGTGATGGTGCGACCATGTGAAATAGGGATTAATTTCTGTTTATCTATATTTTTAATAACAAACTGCGAGCTAACAACAAACTCAATTCAAAATTTAATAGGCTGGGATGTTTTAATAAATTCATCTCAATGACGCTGCAAATATATTTTCAGGTGACTCAATAAATTGGCATTTGAAATATATTCACTCCCACGCTCGTTTACGTTAGATCTAATCAAATTTTGATTACCTTGAAATAAATACCAAGGAGGAACGTAAAAGTGTCGAGAAAGTTTTCAACTCGATATACTCCTAAAATAAAACTTATAGCTATATCAACGATGTTACTAACCTGCGGAATGCTCAATATTAAACTCAGCACCCAAGCTATGATGACCAATTTGCCGCTTCTTGTAGCGGTGGCCATGCTTTTCATTGGGTATTTCACGGCGAGCCACCGATCCACACCAATCAGTACTAGGATGAACGTACTGAGATACAATGCAAACATCTGTAGGAACTTGAACAGTTTGCAAGCTACATTTCCCGCAGACCACTGCACAGCGAACGACCACGCCGCTTCTCCGGCAATACAAAACACAGTCACAAGTAAGTCAGCTATGCTCAACTGGAATATAAGGCTATATATCGCAGTCCACGATGGACGCGCGCGGCCTCTGCTCCGTTTGCCTCTTTTTAAACTTATTATTGTAGCTAAATTCCCGAACAACGACAGCACTGCCATAGCTGAGAGTACACTTGCCCTTATTATAGTACTTTTGGACAAAATGGGCGCGTGATCCAAACACACAAACTGGGTACCGTTGTATGTTTGCACTCGTCTCGTTATATTGCTAGAATCAGTGATGTTTATTATTTCGAGGCATTTCTCTATAGGCCATGACTCGATGGTTGTTAGCATATCTTTGGCGACATTAAATTCTCTTTGTGAGATGAGTTCACTCGGATAGAGTGTACTATCGTCATATGATGTGGTATTGTTGCCTACGCTCTCCATGTTTCGTCATGCGTGTGGAACAGCCCTTCTAGTAACCTGAAACAAACAACATTTCGAGTGAACTTTCTAGTAGTAAATTTATTTTCTTAAAAAGACGCACATTCTGTCCTTAATTGAACCTTAATTCTTTTTATTGAACTTTAAATTTTTTTTTTATTAAAATACATTTTTCTCTCTACATATTCTGCCTTTATATAATTTAAAATTTAGAAGGGAAATTTAATAAGCTCACCACCCTCCCACGTCTCATAATTATTTATATTGTCAAGGAGGTTAGGTACCTCCATATTATGTACCTAGTCAGGTAATAAATTCTATCACATGTTTAATATAAAATAATTGAAACAACTTTATTCATTATGTAACCATTTATATACCAAAATGAACTTAACAAAACATAGATTCTTATGACAACAAAGTTTATTCAAAATGACCTTCGTGATTTTGAATACAGGCCTTCAATCTGCGCGGCCAGTCGTCTATCGCAGCACGAACGAGGTCCATGTCAATATCGGCGGCTGCCTTAATCAAGGATGTCTTGAGTGACTCCAAATTGGGATGAGGCTTTGAGCACGCCTTTACCTCCAAGTGTTATCATATCTTGCAATCTAACGGACTCATATCTGGACTGGAGGAGGGCCAGTCTTCGTGCCGGATGAAGTCGATTTCACGCGTCGCCAGCCAGTCTTGTGTGCTCTTCGCTCTATGGGCTGGCACTGAATCCTGTTGGAATACCCAGTGCCTGTTACTGAACATTTTATGAGAAACAGGTTCCACAAGGTTCGTCAGGACTGTATTTTGATACACAACTACACTCGTTTTTACACCTTTCTCACAAAAATGTACCTCTGTTAAGCCCCAATAAGAAACCCCTAACCATACCATGATACCATGAGCGAGGATGGAAAATGACCTCATTGGACACGCTGAATACGGTTGCTCACTTCTTCACTACTGTGTGCGTACACGTTATCATTTTGTTTGTTATAGCTCTCTTCTAGGGTAAAATTTTTTTCATGCGACAAAAGAATTTCCCGATATTTTTTTCCCGCGTACCGCTTCAACAAAGCTCGGCATCTCTTCAGTCTCAGGTCCATTAAACGAGGATTCAAACGATGTCCTGTTTTTCTTCGATATTCCTGAAGCCCTAAGTCTTCATTTAACACCCTTTTCACCGTGGTTCTGCTTAACCCCATCTGAAGGGCCAACAGTTTCTGCTTACGTTTGGAATTTTTTTGAATTCGCGCCGTCACAGCTTTTATCTCTGCTGGAGTCCTAACAGACCGAGGGCGACCACTTCTTTATCTGTCATCTACACGAGTCTTTATTGTATCGTTTGATGGTACGATAAACGAATCTTTTGGTTATATTCAAAATTTTCAGTATGTCAAAAATTTGAATTAGCACGTAACCGCAACGATGCAACGCAATAACTGCAACACGGTCTTCTTTATGCGTCCACTCCATATTTAAAAATGAGTAAAATTCTAAAAAGTATACGTTTTTATTTTCATGAACAATTCGAAATTCGAATTCAATAAACTTTTTTGTGGTCAGCATTCTAAAAGAAAAGTTTTTACTGTGTGACAATACTTATGACCTGACTGTGTATATCAATTAATTTTTATTGTATATTTATATATAAGCGATCAGATAACATAAATCTAACGTAAGTTACTTATATAATTATAAAATCTTTATTTTAGCAAATATTTAACGCAATTTTTTAGTATTAACCTAAATACCTAGCATGTTTTTAAATTTAAAAGTATTATTTATCTATTTATAGTAAAATATTTTTCAGTTCAATTTAAATTTCGTCCCAAAATATTTTGTGCATGGCCATGACTTGGCAAAATTGTGATCCCCAACTGATCTTAAGTGTGAAAAGAGTCTAGTTGCGATGATAGATGATGCGGCAAAGATAAATGACCCACCACCGACCTTCATTTTGCCGGATTGAACCCAAATCCCATACTCTGCAGAGCTCTGGCAGATTTACTTGCTACAAAAATAACAAACGACGTAACCGCCGCGCCTATCCAGAAAGTCGGCTTAGAACAAAGCTTCGTATTATGATGCATCGACATTTTAATTAGTTTTATAAGCATTTTCCGGGACGATGGCAAGTGACCTGACGGAATGGCGCTTATTCCTTGGAAGCAGGGTCATCCTCTTGTATGGGACGCAAATTGCGTTGATGCGCTTGCTCCGTGCCATACAAGTAGTACCTCCCTGGCGACAGGCGCGGCAGCGGCCTCTGCCGAGTGTTCCTAGTGACGCAAATATTCAGCTCTCAATGAGAACTACATATAGATATTTGTGCCGTTTGGTATTGAGACTATGGGACCATTAGGTCCAAGCGCCCTTTCCTTCTTGATGGAATTGTCTAAGAGACTCACCGAGGTGACCGGTGATCAAAAGGCTGGCAGCTACCTCGGCCAACGGATTAGCCTTGCTATCCAACATGGAAATGCTGCCAGCCTATTGGGCACCATTCCTGACGGCGGCGCTGGGGGTGATATATTTTTTATTTTGTAAATTGTATATTAGTTAGTAAGTACTTAGTTATTTCTGAGTTTTAAGTTTTTAGACATTAAGTAGTTTTAAGCTTTTCTAACCTCGGCCAACGGATTAGCCTTGCTATCCAACGTGGAAATGCTGCCAGCCTATTGGGCACCATTCCTGATAGCGGCGCTGAGGGTAATATATATTTTATTGTGTAAATTGTATATTAGTTAGTAATTACTTAGTTATTTCTGGGTTTTTAGTTTTTAGATATTAAGTAGTTTTAAGCTTTTGTAATTTTATACATTTCAATGTAAATATAGATAAATTAATTCGTTCTATAGTAAGTACGCTTCTTCATCCTTCTCCCACAAAGCACAAAGCTTTGGAACTAAATGCGCTAAATTTCGTATTCGTAATTTGATTTTATTTTAATCGTAATGAATTATCAAGCTGCGTCTGTAGACGCTAGACGATAACTTGCGAATTTCGACACGCAAAAAAGAGGTTGTGGGAGACGATAAATTTGTATGTGCAACTGAAAGAGTATACTTAAGATACGATAGAACTAATTCAAATTTCGAACGCTAATTTTAGCGCTTAGTAACAAAGCTTCGTCGCGCAGGCTTAGGAGAAGCATCAAACAGCTCGATAATTCGGTAATAGAACTTATTCAAATACCGAACATTAATTTTAGAGCATTATGTTCCAAAGCTGCGTCGCGACACAGTATATCGATACTTCTTCAGAAGCTTATCTGTACTTATATTTACTAATTATAAAGAGGAAAGTTTTGATTGTTTGTTTGTATTGAATATGCTCCGAAACTACTGCACCGATTTGATAAATTCTTTCACATTTAAAGTCCTACATTATCCCCGATGAACAAAGGCTATAAAGTATTTTCAAGGCGATTAGGGTTCCTTATGAAAGGTTCAATAATGTAACCCAACATATGAAAAAAACTACCAAAAATAACCTTATATCGCGTACGCTGCGGAAGTTATTGTTCGGAATACCATATGTCTAACTATTACAGTTATGTCACAACTAGAGATCTCCTGCGGTTTAACCCGCGTTAATTTGAGGAAAAAGGTTATAGTGAGTCCAACTTAAAAGAAGGACATATGCTGTTGCAGATTTTTTATAGAACTTTTAAAGGGAAACAACTCCACCATACATGATTTTTTTGCAACTTGAACCGTTTACCCAGCGCATTCAACGGAAGTTCACAAATATAACATTTTTATCCGATCAAACGTTTGTAACATTTTTCCCAATGCTCTGCTCTTCCTGGTCCTAGCGTTATGGAATATGCCCTATAGCCGTCCTTGATAAATGAACTATCCAACACACATATATGTTTTTGAATCGGACTTGTAGTTTCTGAGATTAGCGAGTTTACACAAAAAAAAGAAACAATATGGCCGAATCAGACTTTGAAACGCGACGCTACCACACGCCACGCCACGCGTGTTGAATCAAATCAAAATGTTCTAACTTCTATGTTCAGAATCACATTCGCATAGAAGAATCCGACATGACGATTAGTGCAATAACTATGAGTGATAAAAGTGATGGGTGTGTACAAACCACCGCGTCACTACATACATTTAATAATAAGGGCCTGGACCAATGGTAAGGAGGACACTTTTTTGGTGCATTCTATTCAACGGGTCCTAAACTACGCAACAAAATTTTCACCATCAGTTAAATAAATTTTCACGCAAGGTTTATAATTATTGAAGAAAGCCATTGTATATAATACAAACCTGAGAACAATAACTATTAGTCTACACCGAAGCGAAGCGAGAGTGGACCACTATATTATAATAAGCTTCTAAGGCAGTACCGCAACTAGGCCATTTTCTTGAGTTAAATAAATAACGTCGTACGTCCTATTGAGCGTAAGGGTTTTCTTCATATTTTTGAAAAATTTAAAAGTGTTAAGTTAATATCTCAGATTATTAGATCTTTTTTGAGATAACTAGCCAGTTTTCATTAGACTATTAGCGTCGTTACTCTTAATTTTTAGAGTAACAACAAGTTTTTATTCATATGCACAGTAGAGTATTTATTTTATTTATAAAAAAACGGTATTTATAATTGTGGAATGTGTAACGAAAATAAATACGCCGCGAGTGTTCCGCGAGTCCTTCACTTGAGCACTGGCACTGACGTGTGACTGCATAAGTGACAGGCAGCCTGTGCTCATTCACACACGCGCATCTTGCTTGTACTTCTTTTTTTTAATGTGTATGCTGTTGTTCGCAGGCGACCTTTACAACATCACCGGATTTGGGGACGGCGAGATCCGAAAAGGGGACCTCAAGCGTAGAATTGGCGAGTGCCTGTAGAGGTATTCCAGGCGGATGGCATCTCCCCACGGGGGGAGTCCCCTTTCTGTCTGGAGCCTCTAGTAGTGAAACGATCGCAGCGCGGTTGTATGAAGCTTTGTCTCTACTGATTGTACATTTCTTTACTCATGGTGATAAGTAAGTAATTATTTTCAAATATGGAAAGACGAG